TCTGGACATGACGTCTAGTGGGGTACCCGCTTTACGAAAAAATGCATTTATATGCATCATGAAAGTTTACGAAATGTCATGCATGACTATGCTTATTGGGCGTTAGCTCATTTTGTTATGTCTTGTGGTGTAGGTGAGGAGTCCGTGGATGTTGATGATGCAACCGCAGTACCTTAAACGAACTCTTGTGACATGTCCTTTTGTCTAGTTTGAATGTTATACATAAGCGGCTTTAAGGGCCTTTTGTATATCTTAACTTTTGCCCTTCTATTAGCTCGTAAAGTGTTGTTCAATGTTTATGATTGAAGTTCAAACATTTGTACAGCTTTATGTTTTGATGCAACATGGTCGAGTGCCTTTTTGCACTGCAAGTCATGTATGTTTGTTGGATCAAGTTCCTTTTTGAGGATATGAAAATGAGTTATGTTTGGTTTTGTTTGAGTCTGTATTATATGTAGGTTATGTTTGATCTGTAGCGTCTCCCTCACTTGGGATGCCATCATGAATGGGTCCGAGTGCTGGGCGTTACACCCGATATTGGCTTTTTGGCTCTTGCAGTAGGCAATTCGTACTATTGAATTGATCCAAAGGTGGGGAAATATTCAATTTTGCCTATAAATTGAGGAAACAAACAAGAAAAGGAGGGGAGGGGTATTAGGCAAAAGAATTTCAAAGAAATTTGAAAAAAGAAATTGTGAAAACTTTGAGAAACTTGGGAGGAGGAAATTGAGAGGAAATTTTAAAGAAATTTAAGAATTTCAAAGGCAATTTGGGTATCAAAGATTTTTTAGGTTCAAAAGATTTTTTTGGTTTATAGGTATTTTTGGGTTTCTAGGTTTGGATCAAGAATAGTTGGAAGAGAGCAAGCGTAAGGCTATTCCCCCTCACTCGCCATTGTTCCATCTTCAATCGAGCAACTCATGTAAACTTAATACTTCCCCTTTTGTTATTTGATTCAAACCATCACCTTTTGCCTTTGGTTTGATCAAGAACCAATGATGATAGTGACTAAGTCATTCCCATCATATAACAAGCAACCCACATTCTTTATATTTAAGGGGAATCAACCGAAGGGAGAGAAATGTAAGTTTTTAGGTTTTAGTGAGATGAATGATGAATGAGGTCGAGTAAGAGAGAGATTGATTGAATTGGTTTAGGTCTAAGAAAATGAAGAAAGGTCTGGTTCAAAGGGAGAGGTCATTTCGATCTCGGTAGGTTTTTAAGTCTTGATGAACGAAAAGATGAAAGGGGAGGGAGGGAAGTTCTTTTGGGTTTCTAATGAATGGATAGAATAGGGAAGAACGAGAGAGAGAGGCATCTTAGATCGAAAATGAGGTGGAAAAAAAAGGAATCAAGACGTGTTTATGGATCCGGGATGAAAACAAAAGGAAAATGTGGGTCGGGCCGAGCCCAACCTATGTGGAATAAAAGGCTAGGTTGGCCTTGCACAAAAAAAAAAAAAAGGGATGGCTCGCTCTAGCAAGCCGACCCAATAGGCCTAGTCTAGTGGCTAATGGGTCGAGGGCCCACCGACTCAAAAAATGCCAATTGCTTTAATTTCTTTTTCTTTTTTAAAGATAAATTTACTTTAAATGCTTTTTTATTTATGTATCTTTGTTTGCCGTTTAATTTAGATTTAATTATTTCTTTTTTTGCTTTTTTCTTGAATTTTATTTAGTTAATGCCAATTTAGAACTTGTTTCAATAATTAGCTTAAGTAATTAATAGATAGATGAATTGTTAAGTCTCTTAATTTTTACCGACTCATGACAATTCCCTACCAAAAAAATAAAAAAATAAATAAAGGATAAAAAAGGGATAATTACCATAAAAACCCTCTAAAAAAATTTTATATCCAAGTAACCCATCAATTTATTTTTAAATCTCCGAAACCCAAAATAATATTTTTTTACCAAAACACCCAATAGTGAATCTCCAACTTAAAATTAGTTAACTATTGGGTCTTTTGGTAAGATAATTTTTTTATTTTTAGGTTTGAGAGGTTTAAAAAATAAATTGATGAATTTTTTAGATAGAAAATTTTTAAACACTAACATTCAACTTTTTTTTATTATGCTAAAAAATTCCTTATATTAGATTTTTTTTTCTATTGACCGTTTGTTTTATTAATTATGAGATTAAGTTTATTATCTAGTAACTATAGGAATCGATGCAATTTGACTAATTGCTATTGATGCAATGAGTCTCTTATTATTCTCTTGTAATTTAATTAAAAGGTTATCATACAAATAAGAAAAATAAGAATGTGTATGATTATGAATATTAGTGATTTCTTAAATCATAATATATTGATAGAAAGAAAATATATTATCGGTAATACTAGTTTTTAATTAATCAAAACTCAACATTTTTTTATCAAACAATTAAATTAAATTACAAGATGAATATATAATATATTTTGGTGCATTAATTAAATAAAACATAATCATTCATAATAGAAATACATATCTTGAAAGATAATGGTTTCATTAAAACTAGGGATAATTACCAAAATATCTTCTAAAAAATCTTCTATGTAAAAAAGTCACTATTTTATTTTTAAATTTCTTAAACACAAAATAATATTCTTAAATCTCACCGACCTAAATAATATTTTTCTTACCAAAACAACCAATTAACTGCTGGTTGTTTTGGTAAGAAAAATATTATTTAGGCTTAGAAGATTTAAAAATAAATTTATAAGTTTTTTAGATATAAGATTTTTTTTATAAGGTTTTTCGAGTAATTATCCCTAAAAAAAATAATGAACGAGAAAAATAAAAAGGGATATTAGGGAAATAAAAAAAATGCTAGAGAAAAAAAAAGAAAAAATAAGGAAAAAGAGAGAAGGAAAAAAGGAAAAAAAAAAGAAAATGCAAAGAGAAATTAACAAAGTCTCATATCTAATATAGACTCGTTATTAGTAAAAAAAAAAAAACTTTAGTAATTAGGTAGTTCTTCGATATATCAACTATGTCGAGACTTAAAGTAGATTTGACGCTAAATTGACTTGTCTCCGAATAATCGATTCAATATAATGTCACAAATAAAACTAAAAAACTTTATTTGGCCTAGAAAAATTTAGAATTTAAATTAAAAACAATTTGTTAAAAATAAAATATCTTATGAGATAAATATTAAGATTATGTTAGATATGATATCTTTTTCGAAAAGAATATTTTTGGATAATCAATATCTTATCAAATATGAAACTAATTTTTTTATCTTAAAATCTTCGAAATAATATTATTTTTAGGTTTTTGTTTCTTACCATAGCAATTAACCATTATTAAAATTAATAATAACTCACACTGTTGTGAATAATTCAAATAAAGAATCTTGCCGCATGTCAGTAGCACACATGCTAACCAAGACTTGCGCATCCCAAAAGATCATCCTGTACCCATATGATAGATGTGTGTGTCCCCACATGAACCGTGATTCATTGGTTACTGCCAGTTAGTCAGAAGAAGATAAGATGGTCCTTATCTTCTTTAATTATTGGATTTATCTCAGGTCCCTCTTACCATATGACCATATCTCCTGCTTTCGTCATTTAATTGCATTTATGGTGAGGGATATATATTTTTTAAATGATGCCTTTTTAGGGTGAAAATCATCTCCTATCATTATATTATTCAATATCGTTTATTTTAATTTTTCTATTAAGATATGACACAAAACAAGAAAATCATGTTAATTTTCGTGTTATAACATATTTTCTTTGTTAATTTTGGCCAAATGCATTGAATTGCTTTTCATTTTTTTTCTCCTTCTGATTTCAAGAGCAACAACACTTTTCAAGAAAAAAATTTAAAAATAAATGGAATATTGAATTACCGATAAATTTAAATAACAGATATAACATATATTTTCAAGTCATCATTGCAATTCATTCGATTACTTTAATTTTATCTATCATTATATATTCACACAGATTATTTTTTTTTAGTTTGCGTTGTAAATTTAAAATATGCAAAATCTATTGAAAAATATTTATTTTTGATAGAAAAATTAAAAAATATTTATTTATTTAACATAACAACGTAGACGAAAGCTTTTTAATATATCTCTAACCATATGAAACGATATTTTATTATTTCATAACTTTAAATATATTAGATTATAATTTAATTATTATAAAAAAAGAAAAAAAATAAAGATAGGTCAAGCATAATAATAGATATGAGTTGAATAAGAATATAGAAAAAAAGGTGGGAACTTTAAATTATCTATATTTCAAAGACTTCAAAGTCTTTATATATATTAAAAACTTCGAGCTCATATGTTTTTTTTCTCACAAATCTAGTTTTTTTTTTTTTTTTTTTTTTTTTTTTTGTAAAATAAATTTGAGTTTCAACAACATACAAATGTAATGATTTAATTTTATGTAGGGGGGAAAAAAAAAGAAGGGAAAAGGAAAGTGAGTTCTGAGTCCGCATCAAAGAAAATCTAATAATATACACACACTAGCAAACGTGGATACGACACAAGCATGTATAGTCTAGTGAGTACATATCAGATAGTGTTTTTTTTTTTTTTTAGTAAAATAAATTTGAGTTTCAACGAATTTAAGTTATTTAATTATTATGTAACGAAAAAAAAATTTATTCTCGTTATGTTTAAAACTCAAACCTCGCGATTCTTCTAATTTTTTTTTTTAAAAGATAAACGTGGACACCTATATATAACCTTTCAAAGATTTTATCCTTATATTTTGGTTTGAATATCTTATAAGTTAAAAAGGACAGAATTTGTTACATTAAATAATTCCAAAATAAAAGGAATAACGCAAATTAAAACCACACCGAGAGATTAATTTAACAAAGATGCAAGATTACAAATCCAAAAACATAGAAAGATAAACAATGACACCAAAACCTGATCATGGTTCAATGCCATTACATTATTATCCATTACTTCAATACGTACATTACTCCAATAATTCCTTCATTACCAGGATACATATTTGTGGATCATGAGCAGTGCAGCACATCACGTTACTCATTTCTTAATCCGTTAATATCGTCTTCGACTTTTCTAAATGAAACCAATAATGGTGCCTCTGTCATAGACAAACGTCTAGCTCCAACTAGGCTGTCTTCGACACCAACAGCACTGATATAGCCTAAGCCACGAACCACGAAGATGGCTCGTAGCTTGTAGTTGGAAGTCAATATTCCTCCCTCGTTGATCAACCTGAATTCAGTGTTTCTATAATCTTTAGCTCCACCAACAGTCACAAAAAATCCTGCTGATGTTGAGGACTCATCTTCTTTAATTATCCATGTGGTTGATTCAGCACAACTAGATTTGGTATCAAAACTGATGGATAATGGAGTGGAATCCGTAATTACATTTTCCTCATCAGAAGTTGAGAATATTACTGGGATACCATTATCAAAAGGGTTTCGTAGTAAAATTACATCAGTTGGGCAGGTACTGTTCTTACCTTTGGCTAGGCTGACACCAGATAATATGGAGTACCAGCGCGAAGCTCGTCGCCTTTAAGGTCACGTAATACATTTCCTGAAGCTTTAGCGCCTTTAAGGTCACGTAATACATTTCCTGAAGCTCTAGCTGCTTCGGAAAACAGTGTTATCATAGAGGTTGACAGAAGGAAGGAGAGAGCTAGTAACATAGGCTTCATTGTTATAGCTATGGCTGATATTTCTTTTTCTCGTGGTGTGGAATGGAGCGGACACAAGGTTGCTTTTACAGAGCTTGGGGCTGCCTGGGTTTCTATTATTTGTCTCAACTCTATTCTTTAATGCAGGAAAAAAACAAATGCCTTCTTTATTGGCACACTTATTACTGCAGCACACATTATCAAAACGATGCAGGATATTGCGATCAAACTTAATCCAGTTTCCTTTGGTCTCGACGTGGCTGAAAGACGTCCTTAGAAATTATGCCACCCAATTTCCTTTTTTTTTTTTTTTGGTCATATTGGTTGTCACGAAACTCGCGAAAAATTATTAATTATAAAAATTTATTTATACAAAGGGAAAGAATTAAAAAAAGTTACGTAGTCTTCACCTAATGTTACAAAAAATTACAAACTTAAAATAAACATTAATTTAAAAATTCTCGAATAAAAAATTAATTATCTTTGTAAAAATATCAATAATCCAAAAGCATTTTTTTATAAAAAAAAATCACATCTAATTAAGTCTTAACTGTTTATCTTCTAAAACATTTAAGTGTTGTTTGTTAATAAGGAATAGAGTGATGGGAATGAGAATGAAGAGTGAGAATGTGTATGAAAATTTACACATAGCTTCATTCCCACATAATATGTGGGAATAAAAAACAAGAAATGAGAATGAATTTTTTTCTTCAAAATAATGATATATTTTATTTATTTATTATCTATTAACTATTTTTACCACCATCACCACAACTACCACCATCACTATTATTACAACAATTACAACAATCACCTCCACCATCTTCATCACTACCATCACAACAACTATTACCACCATCACCATTGCAACTATCACAATCATCACTATTATCACTATCACAACTACCATCACTAATAACATCATCACAACCACCACAATCAGTATCATCATCATTATCACAATCATAACCACCATTATCACTACCACTCCGACAATCATTACTGTTACTACCACAACTACTAGAACCACCATTATCATAACCACAATCACCTTTATTATTTTTACAACTATATAATTTAATAAAATTATTTTTTTAATCATTATTTTTATTTATATAAAAAATCAGATATTAAAAAATTTAAATTACATTTCGATTTCTTATTAGTATTCCAAACACAGTATTGAAATATAAATACCATTTCGATTTCTTGATTTTCATTCCAATTCTTGTATTTCGAAACTCATCATTCTATTCCTAATTATCAAACAACATCTTATTATTATTATTTTTATCAAAATATTTTTGAGCCAATTTTCTTTTCTTTGATAGAGGATATTGTGATAAAAATTGGTCCAGTTTCGTTTGGTCTCTACGTGGCTGAAAGACACATCCGTAAAAATTATCGAATGATCATTATGGTGCCACGTAATTTCTTTTTTTTTCCTTTTTAATTTTTCACATATTGTCTTTCTCAAAGTTTCCTCACTCAAACTCCAGAGTGCCATTGAAATCCAATATTTTATATTTCAAACCATTAAGTAGCGAAACACTAGAAACAAACAACTCATGAACATCAGATTTATTTTAATCAAGGCCTTCCCATTCTTGAAACAACAAAAATAGGCATTACACTATTTTGAGTTTTCTAATCTTTTTGAGCAATTGGGGTAAGAATTCTATAATCTAACAGAAATAAAATTTGATTAAGTATCATAATTCATTATTAAATTTCTTGTACTAAAAACTTCACAGGAAACTTTTTCTGTAGAGTTAAGGGTTATTATAGCTGGATCCAGGAGATGTCTACTCTTATAGCCCAAATTTCCCCTCTTTAAATTGTTATTTTTATCTTATTTCTGTTTCGTTTTTATTTTATCTTCTGTTATTTTCGTTTACAACACAAATAATAATAATAATAATAATAATAAAATAAAATAATAATAAATAAAAAATAAATAAATCTAAAAAAATTTACATAGCATGAGGAATTAAGGACACAATTGAATGAAATTGGAGGGTGCAATTGTAAAACCTTTCTAAAGTTCCAAGACTGTCCTAACAAATTGTCAAAATCAATATTTTAAGATAGTGAATGTACTATTCACTGTCTCTTTTGTTTCAAAACCAGAAACGGTTTTGGCTCCCCCTAGTTTTTTCCACGATTTGGTCCCAGCCAGCCCGCATGTCCTTCTCCTCTATTTGAGGTGCAAGATGTGCTGCAACCATAACCAAAAAAGAAAGACGGTAAGGTAAGAAAAACAACAAGAAGATAGCAACTGTCACTTGTACTTGAAGCAATCACATGGTGGCCAAAAAAGAAAGAGAGAAATGGAGGGTCTTGATTGATAGCATGAAAAAGAATATAAAAATAGACCTGTGAGGATTTGAGAACGGAGAAGAAGAAAAGGAGTGAAATTCGAAAGATTTTAGCATTGCCAGTTTTTGCACTTTTTGGGTTTTTTGTAGGTTCTGGGTGGTGTTCCTCATTTTCTAGGCGGGTGTTCCTCACTTGTGGGTTTCTTTAACTCTATTTTCTTGGTTTTCTGGGCTTCGTGTTGAATTTCTTAGGTTTCTAAACTCGATTTTCTGATTTCCCGGGTTCAATTTACATTTTCTTGGTTTTTCTATTCAAATTTTCTGGGTAGTGTCTCGTGTTCTTCATTTTTCTGGGTTTCGTTCTTCAAGTTTCTGGGTCTCAACTTCAAGTTCTGGGTTTCATCCAAATACTCTAGGGTCGAACGCACCTAGATGATTCCATTAGCATTTGTAGTTCCATAATCAAATTCCAAGGCATTCGATCATCACCTAATTAACCCATCAATCATTCCTCATCGTCTGGGTTTTAATTTCAAGTTTCTAGGTTCATTTAAAGGTTCTGGGTTTCTTAAAATCCACAACTCCAACATATTCCATCTACAAGCAAGGGAATTTGGGGCATCCGTATTCATCTTCTCAATCTCAATCATCAGGTAGCCCATTAACCATCATCTCTAGTCTATATTTGTTCGTCACTGCCATGGTTTGAATCCAAGGATTCGAACCTCCTTCGATTGATCTAGAAGAATGATTTAGATGAATTTCTAGAAGCTCTTTGTCATTGATCAGAGTGTGAAATCTCTAATTAATGTTGTGAATTAGGATAGCAGTGAACTGGACAATTGGTCGAGAGATAAAGAAAAGAAAAAGAACAGGAAACGAGTGAGACTGGGAGTGGGAGGCTATTCGATCAAAAAAAAAAAAAAAAGTAAAGGATATTGAATGTTGTTTGTGGACTTTGGTCTAATCCAAAGTCCAGGAAAAGATGTGGGTACTAGCATAGCTTCACCAATACAAACACACACACAGAGCAATCAAACTAGAACTAGTCAAGAAAAAAAAAAAGGAAAAAAAGAAAAAGAAAAGAAAAGAAAGAGAATATATATACACACACAAAGCAAATCAAACTAGAACTAGTCTAGTCAAGAAGAGAAAAGGATAAAAAGAAAAAAAGGAAAACAAAGAGAAAGAGAAGGGAGTACAGGTTGGCCTCCTAAAATTTTTGTGCTTTGATTTCATTTTTCTTAGATAATTTGAATCTGAATATCTTAGGTTGTTTATGCATTTTTATTTCTTGCATTAATTTAGATTCAAATTTTTTAGATGCTTTGAAATTTATTTAGATAACTTTAATTTTAGAATTTATTCTAATAGTTAGATTAGGTAGTTGATGGATGAATTAATTGTTGAATCTTCTAATTTTTAGGGATTTATGATGATTTATCATCAACAACCAATAGAAAAATTAATTAAAAAAAAAAAGAAGAAGGAAGAACTTTGGGTAAAGGAAAAATAAAAAGGAAATAGAACAAGAAAAAATGCAAAAAATAGGATCTCTAGAACTAGTCTAGTCAAGAAGAGGAAAGGGAAAAAAAGAAAGAAAAAGAAAGAAAAAAGAAAAGAAAAAAAGAGAAACAAGAGGGAGTACAGGCTGGCCTACTAAATTTTTTATGCTTTGATTTCATTTTTCTTAGAGAATTTGAATTTGAATATGAATATCTTAGGTTATTTATGCATTTTTATTTCCTGTATTAATTTAGATTCAATTTTTTTAGATGCTTTGAAATTTATTTAGATAACTTTAATTTTAGAATTTATTCTAATAGTTAGATTATGTAATTGACGGATGAATTAATTGTCGAGTCTTCTAATTTTTAGGGATTGATAACGATTCATCATCAACAAACAATAGAAAAATTAATTAAAAAAAAAAAAAGAAGGAAGAACTTTGGGTAAAGGAAAAATAAAAAGGAAATAGAACAAGAAAAAATTCAAAAAATAGGAAGAGATCCCGATATATATATATATATATATATATATAAATTCTTAACAAAGTTTCATATCTAATAAAGATTGTTGTTAACAAAAAATAAAAAAATAATTAATTAAAATTAAAATTCTTAACAAAATCTTCTATCTAATCGGGAATGTTGTTAGGAAAAAAATCATTTTAGGAATCAAAATGTTCTCTCGACATACCAATTATGTCGACACTTAAAAGTGGATCCGATGTTTGAAATAACATGTCTTTCGATAAAGGGATCCGACAACTAGTTCAATGAGATGCCACAATCAAAAGTAAAATCTTAATTTGGCTTAGAAAAATTATAGTTTAAATAAAAAATAATTTGGCACAAATAAAACACATTAGGGGATGAATTTTAAGACAAACTAAACGTGATATCTTTCTTAGGAAATGACACTTTTAGGTGATCAAAATCTTTTTAGAAAAGTAAATAAGTCCTTGCTCTAGAATCTCTATAACGACACCCATTTTAGGTTCTTAGTTCCTTCAATACTAAATGACAACTCTCAAATCTAATAATAATTCACATTCCTAGAAATCATAAATAATCGAACTACACTTAAATAAAACTTTTTATAATTTTTTCTAAAGTCTCGTTTTTTAGTTGGATAGCAATAGAGTGGCGACTCTACTAGAGATTTAAAGTTAGGCCATAGCTTTAGTACTTTAAATTTATC